ACAATTATTTTAATGCACTGTATTGATAACGCCAATATGGATGACTTGATGCTTGAAGGCAACATTGAAGGGCAATGGACCCATTCTTAAATGGTTTGTATCTGTCAGTGTGTTTTTAGATGAGACACCGGAAGGTGACCGGATGTCGTCATAGCATGCTATATAATCATTAGCTTCACGTCTCTCTCTCTCTCTCCTGGACCGTTGGCGGAGTAACATCTCCCCGTCCTTGGCTCTCGTCATGTAGCCGCTAACTGCTGTTTATTGTCCCTGAAGAAGACCTAAACCTGGTCGAAACGTTGGATGTACAGTAAGACGATTCTCATGTTTTGTCGGACTCAAGAAAAATAAACGGCAAAGAACAATCCTTTCTCCGTTTTTTTTGCTAAAAGCTAAGTCATGCTGGAGCTAAATGCTAATGCTAAGCGGGCCCATAAGCTAACTGAGGCTATCCTAGCACAGCCCGCTAGCGAGTCCATAGACATTGAGGCGTACTACGCACAACATGAGGCGAACGCGAACGCGGCACGACGTATGATGATGCAATAACATCGAAGCAAGGGGGCCGGAGAGGAGAGAGACGACGCACACACGATGACCTGCTAACCGAGCCACGCCGCTGAGACCGCTCCAGGTGCAGCGTCAGCTAAACCGCAACACGGACGGCTGCTGATGAAGGTGACGGCTTCGTGTTTACTTTTAACAAATAAATAACAGTTTAATAATAGAAAGCTGGAGGCTGGAGACGGAGGACAACAGGAGGCTGCGTGGATGTTCGGGACTGCGGGACCTGTCCGGTTTGATGGACCGTGCACTGACAGTGGTCTTCGGACCGCTGTCCCAACCCTTTCACCCCTAACCCTAACCCTAACCCTAACCCTGACCCTAACCCTACTTAGCCCCGCCCCCCCCCAAAAAAGGTCTTACCTTCTGCCAAAGCCTGTAGAGAGTTGGATTCTATCATTTTGCAAGAAATAACAAGACTACTTCATGCAACTTATTCAGAACAGTCTTAAACACTAACACAATCTTTCACCTAAAACATTGGCGAATGGAAAATCGTTAAAACCGAATAGTTCAGGAAATACAACCAAAGACAAGAAGCACCGCAAGTACATTATGCAATCATACCATTTAAAACATTTTTCTAGACCCGTCACACAGCCTGCATGACAAGCATTACATAACCATTACTGGGAAAAAAAAGTCTTACCCGTTAGTCAAATCGCTAATTTGGCAGGAGCATTTGGCAATTTCCAAAGGAGGCTAAAGCTGCTTGCCCCTGAAGCAGGAGCATGTAGTGTTCTCTGAATCATCCTGTGTGGTAGCACAACAGTACTTTAGCAAACAAGAAATATTTAAACACTCACAAGGATGCATCTTTTTACACACTGGGAAAGCGCAGATAAAAACTTGATTAGTTCAGTACATATTAGCAGCAGATGCAGTTAACCAACAGTCAGGCATTCTAACATTTTATTAGACTTTTCACACAGCATGACATGAAAAGCAGTACTGAGAAAGGGTCTTCCCTCTCAATTTTCACAGGAGGCTGAAGTTGCTTGGCCGCTCCCAGGGAGCCCAAGGCAGGATCCTGTTGTCTTCTCTGGACCGTCCTGCATGGAATCACACAACTACTTTACCCAACCGGAATGTCGAACATTGATCGCAGTTTCCCTGTACGAGCAAAAAGCTGCCAAATTTAAATGAAGCAGCTAAAGAGGGTGGCATAGTTCAGGACATCCAACCACATTTTAGAAGATACAGTTAACACATTATGCAACAGTCAGGCTCTTGACGGTTTGAAAAGGAATGTTATTAGACCCGTCACACAGCCTGCATGACAAGCATTACATATCAAAAACCATACTGGAAAAAAGGCTTACCGTTCACTCAAATCACTAAAGACTGCTGGTAATTTCCACCGTCATAGGAGGCTGAAACTGCTCGACCACCTCTCTGGACCGTCCTGTGTGGAATCACAACTCATTCTGAAAAATCTTTGAAACACTGACAAGATTGCATCTTTTTGCCCATAGGCTAATGTTATTTAGCAATACTAACACATTGGCCAACAGAAAATAGATAAACAGCAGCTAAAGGATCCAAATAGTTCTTAAAGACAGGCCACAACACAGGCATTCTTTACAGTTAGAAAGACATTTTATTAGTGCCATTACAGCTTGTACGACAAGCATTACATTAAAAAAAAACACCTTGACAAAGAGCCCAGGTCTCGCCCATCTTCTCCCTCTCCTCTAGAATACATTGACATTTTATTAATTCACTGCCAAAATTACATTCCAGGTACACAGTAAATTTGACTGTCAAATTGGAGAACATTGCAACACTAAGCCAGTAAACAAGGTCTTAACCTACAGTCTTGGGGTTACACTGAAGTGTACAGCACTATGAGGTTGACTTTTTCCAATTTAAAACATCTGCATGAGAAATATTTAAGCAACTATTTAAATCAATAAAGTTATTACTATAACACCCACTTTTGATATATTGTGCAAAAAACTGGTTCAGTTAATGAAAAATTGCTCTTTAAATACAAATTTAAAATGACAGTTTTAATTACCGTCACAGAAATGTGTATTTAAAGTGCATTTTTACAGGGTACACACATAATATTCACTTGCACTATGGAACAAACATCACAATCACCACAAAACACCAAGCAATTCAAACAGTTAAAACATTGTGAAAAATACGTGCAGTTAAATATGAGCAGTGGCTCTTTAGTAATGTACTTGTTAACACAAGTCAGTCATACCTTTTGTTTGCTTTCATGGCACCACGGTCTCCACTGGGTTTCTTGCCCAATGCATATTGAACCAACTGAAATGAGTAAATGACAATACAATATTTAAAAAAAATGAAATGATCTGCAACAATTTATGAAACAGGGTTACGAAAAATACCACGGGCAATCCACAGGTAGGTCAAACATTTTACACATCAACTAACCCGTTTGGCCTCCTACTTGTCCCTGAAATTCAGTGGTAGAGTTGAGATTAAAAGTAATTGCCAAAATCTTTGTCCATGTATTGAAGTGAGGTTGCCCTTTAACCTACCCCGAACTTCCGAACCTTGGAAGTTTTAGTTTTTCCATTGGTCATCTTGATTCTGCAGGTGTAGAACCAGCCATAGCAGCCTGAGAAGAGATCACAAGCAATTAGTAAAGTTCAACGTGCAAGTAAATCCCCTCTAGAGGTACCATTGGCCGATTTCTATTTGGGCGGTCGACAGATACAAGAGAATGAGGGAGAAATAGTTATAGGGCTGTTGTATTAGAATGCATTAGTTTTAGCTGATGCATAGTGTGTAGATCAAGTCATGAGAAGTTGAGCAACTGGAAGAAAGACATTTGTAACCACCGGTAGCACAGAGTTAAATATTTCCTCATAAATTATCCAACAACCACGGATCAACAGGTGACTGAAGTCAGACAGAGGAAACAGTATTCCCAGATTTCAACATTTAGTTAAAATATAGAAAGCATACAAAACAATTAAACCAATTTCCATCAGCTGTAGAAATAACCAAATGCACCTCTACAAACAAATTGAGTGCTACTGGTGACTGGGCTGCACCGAGGCAGGAACATTACAGGTCATTTAGCAGACGCTTTTATCCAAAGCGACTTACATTACCACTTTAAACCCATGGATTTTTCACATTTTTGCCCGGGGAGCAATTAGGGGTTAGGTGTCAGGTGTTGCTCAGGGACACTTACACATGGAACATGGGGCAGCCTGGAATCGAACCAACAACCTTGTGCTTCCCAGCACACCTTCTCTAACCCCTGCACCACGACGACACGAGGGACAGGGACAGGCTCTGGCACAGGGCACTCACAGACTCAGTTTCTCCACACAAACAATATAAAATAGAGGCATGCTATGTAAAAAGAAAATACAGACAAACACAACGGACAATGGGATGAGCAGATGAAAGGCCCAGCCACCAAACCCACCATCTGGGATGCTACCCTGCAGACAACCTCAAACACAAAAATAAACACAAATTACTTACCAAAAGTAATCATCTGCAAACTAGTATTACCAACATGAAGAAACTCCAGACCAGAACTGAACAAGCAACACTAAACAGCAATGGCTTCTAATGCCAGCCTGGAGTTACTTTGAGGCTCCTCCACCTGGTATGGCTCACACATGATTTGGGCCTCCCTGACGAGCTGGGAGACACAAACAGAAAGATCACCAACGGCCAAACATTTTAAAAAGAACTGAGAATGAAAACACCTACCAGCTCACTGGCTTCTCCAGCCCAGAAAGGGACAAGCATGCCAAAAGCAGCTTCATTATGGGCAGCTTTATACCCTTTCTAATGGGTGAACCAGGAAGTAGGAGGTACCAAGGCCTGCCTGAACCTACAGTAGCTCAGGAAGGACATTTTCTCACTGGCTACACATTGAAAAAGATTATATATTATTCAAATCATTGAGTTATAATCTCACCGGCTGAGCTTCTTCCCAACAAAGATGAACTTGTGTTGCAGTATCACCATTTAGATTATTTCATCAAAATCTGGCTGTGCACCCAGTAAGCCATGGATCAAAATTCCCCTCACCTGTAGTTTAGTCCATTATATGCCACATTTTTGGCCAAGCTTGCACTGTCATTAGTTTTGGTCCTTAGACTTTTGTTTTAGAGTATTTGAGATATCCTTGGTAAAAACATCAATGTAAAGAGTGAAAACATTTATTATGTCCAATAGAGGTCTGCTGAAGCCACGTGCGTGTAAATGATTTGCAATCTGAAATTGATGTATCTCAGAAAGGGGAAGAAGCACATTTGCAGAATGCTGAATTCGAAGCAAAGACTTTTAAATATATTGGAATGCCATACGGGCAGCACAGTGGGGTCATGGTTAGCACTGTCGCTATTGATTGCAGCCCCCAACGACCCTGTGTGCACCATAAGTGGTTTGAAGATGAATGGATGGAATTACTTACTATTATTTTGGTGGAGTACATATTCTACTGGTTCCACTACATTAAAGTGGGTCCTCCAAGCACTGTAAAGTGCACCTATGCCACCAATTGCTTCTAAGAAGGCTTCTCTCACAGAACGCACTGGCTAGCTTTTCAACTACTGACTGGTCAAACTTCCATTCCAAACATCCATTATCTCTTAATGCTTGGCTAATAGTCTTTTGCGTAGTCTGCACAGACAGAACCAATCAAATAGTTAAAACTCCTGCCAAATCTAATCTGTATAAGACACAAGAAAGATTTTCTATTCTTTAAGCAGAACGGAAGTCATTTTAACCTCATTATCCTTCCCCAAGTTTTGAGAACTCCCATTGTAAAAAAATGAGTTTAAAATAGCATTGCTCTCTATACTTTCCTCATCTGGAATAATATTTGCGACATTGGCACAAGATTGTCCAACTGCATGTATCTCAGGCTTAAAGATTTTCCCTGTTTTCTATATCTCTCATAGATTTCGGTTAGGGTTAAATTAGGAACACACATGTTATCTTATTATCTATTCTTTTTTTTAATGGTGAAGGGTGTGTTGGAAATACTCCCTTTCAGTGGACAGTTGGACCACAAGTATTGCAGTTGAACGTAGATAGGCTTTGTTGACTGTTCTTTGGGCAAAGTGATTTATTGACAGGAGAAATGCACAGGTGTACAACGTGGGCCCGAGGTACGCCTGTAGAGGGTCCCAGTAGCTCAGGTTTTTGAGCGTTGGATTACGGCGGTCCAGGTCCCACAAAGAGTTATTAAAGTTTCACACATTTTGTTGATGGGAAAATACACAAGTGTCCTAAATGGACCAGAGCACGCTTCCCGCGGTCCGATAAGCTTAGGTCTGGTCTCATTCGAACCGCACCACTGCTCTCCACATAGGTACACCAACCACAAGATGGTGCAACCTCCGCAGACCAATTGATGTCCAAATCATGCCCTGTATCGATAGAAGAAGAGGAAAGTGTCTCACATTGGTGATGACATTATTTATTCAACTGTATTTATGTCACATTTCACACATGAGGCCTAGATACGTCATATGATGATGATAAAAACAATTCTAACAATAAAAAAATACATCTTCAATAATAATTGATAACACGTTGACCTAGCCCTGCGATTGGCTGGCGACCCATCCAGGATGTTCCCTGTCTATCGCCGAAAGTTGGCTGGGATGGACTCCAGCCCCCCCGCGACCCTGTGTGCAGGATAAGCGGTTTGACAATGGATGGATGGATGGATGGATGGTTGACCTAGCTCGGTAAAATCCTTTAATTATGTGAGGAAACTGAAATAAAACCCGTAATCTCAACAGACTCACAATAGTTGACAGCAGAAGATATTCATTACTTGACATCAAGATCCCACATCAGTCTTCATCACCTGTCCACTGATGAGGAAGTATGTTGATGATTCAGATAACATTATGATAATAATAATAATAATAATAGTAATAATAATGATAGGTGTTCATGGTGCTGGAACTCAATAAGTATCCCACGATCCCAGCTCCTTGAGTATTTTTTATCACTGTGTCAGTTTTGTGTTTGGTATCATTCCTGAACGTAACCTGAGGGCTATTGCATGAAACCAGGATAAGGGATTAAACTGGTAAATTCACGTTATCCTGGATAAATGTAGCTTTTACTTGGTTGCACGAAAGCAGGTTCAATTAAACCCAGCCAAGTAACCATGGCAATCTATTATTTGCAGCTAGCCTGCTCCAGACCAGGTAACAGCCAGGCTAAGATTAATCCTGGAGACTCATGTCTTAAATCAGCTGCCGCTCTGATCCAAAACAAACGTGTTCAACAGTTATTCCGTTGTCTCCTGAATGTGTTCTGATTTATCTTTTTTAACATGCATTACTTGTCACTATTGCTGTCACCAGTTTGATTTTAAACTCTACTATTGCAGTTGTTTAGATCAGTGGTCCACAACCTTTTTTGCCTCACGGGCCGTTTTCATGTCAGACAATATTTCGTGGACCAGTCAAAAAGGTCCGGCAGATAATAAACACGCCGAACTAACAGGGGGGTTAGTAGTCGTTGGGGGCGGGTGGACCTTCATTATTAAACCTTCAAGTATGATTCACTGCAGGACTCCTGTATTATTATTATTATGTCTGTTTTGTAGCCTTGAAATTTCAAACTATTACGTTATTCCAACGAAACCTTCTTATTTATTCTACAAAACGTAATATTCAATAATTTTAACAAACAAAGTTACACGATGTGAACAATATGGCAATTCCATTTCTTAGAGTGGCAGCGAGATCTTGGGTTTGAGTCACTCAACGGCCTTTCTGTTTGGAGTTAGTTGAGCCGAGGTTGGCTGGGATTCCCACAATTGTGCAAAAAAAGCTATGTATCTAGTATGAGAAAGGGTTAGTTACTACTTTAAAAGGGTGAGGGCTTTAAAACATACATTTGAAAAAAAATCACAACATGTTTTTGTAAAAAGTCATAGGAGCTTATAATACCATATTCCCCTACTAGAGAGCTGCACTCCATAAATGCGGGGTTACTTGTTCTTACTAGAGCAGGGGTGCCCAACCTTTTTTGAACCAAGATCTACTTTTAAAGTTGATAGTGATCGAGATCTACCAAAGTGTTACGGACCTGCCGGCTCCTCCTCCTCGTTTTGTCTATTTGCATCTCCCCTACAGGTGAGCGGAGCACAGGTGTGACGGGTTTCCTATGATTCCTTCCAGGAACACCTGGGATGGCTTTATGTATCCTGAGGGGTTTAAAAGCTGGGGAGACCTGGTGGAAGGAGGGCTGCCGCTTCTCCTTCTCTCCCGCACCGTTTTGCTGATTTTGTTTCCTTTTACATGACTTTTCATATACCCTGATTGCATACGCTTTCAGTTCTCCTAACTAACACTTATACTGACTTTATTTACTTTACGTTGCTCATTCGTTGTCCTTAATAAACGGTATTTTCTTTCAATCAACTCATCCGCGTGGTCTTCCCTCTCTGTTGCATGGCCAGGCACAGGCAGAATGTAACAGAATTGGGGGCTCGTCCGGGATCGATCCAAAACGACGTCGGTAAATATATATAAAAAATATATATATAATAATTTATGCGTTTGAATGTATTGAGACCGTTTCATTTAGGTGCGTCTGATTCGGAAAGTGCTTTTGATCGTTCATTGATTTGAACGTGTTTTTTTGGGAAGACGCATGCGGATTAAGGTGAAAATCAATTGCGTTTGGAACAATTGGTTTATTTATTTATTTTGTTGGTGCGTGAGAGGAGGAGAACAATTAGGTAAATTTGTACCTTGGCCGTCGTTAAAGTAGGCCAGGTTGAAGTATTGGCGGTGAGCGATTGTTTGACAAGTGTAGGTCTGCACTGCGCGTCAAGATTGATTGATTTTGATAAAGTATTCGATAAAATTATCAGAGCTTTACGAGTGCCCGTTAGTTGTAATGTTTGTTATTTTAGTTTGTTATTTTTGTGCTATCCTGGGCAGAGGGCACCGTCGTGGAAGCCTTCTTTAACGGCATTTTGTCGGGGAAGTTAAGGCTCCGCTGATATCGTGTAATAAAAATCTCTGTCCTTGGGATATGCATGAAGAGGATCGCTATTTTTTCTTTCTTTTTACAGGGCAGCTCTGTTTTATCTCGTCTGATGCGCAGTGTGGTAGCCACATTTGCATTGGGAAAAGGTGAGCTTGTTATCTTTATTTGCAAGAATTGTATGGGGTAAAAATTGTTTCATTATGGCTAGTTTGGAGGATTTTTTTGTTACTCCATCCGTGGAGGTTTTGAATAATTTGACAAAGGATCAGTTGCGCCGGGTTTGTGACCATTATGGCCTTGACTTCGGTTTACCCAGAACAGCAAAATTAGCCCAGATTAGATTGTCCGTTCAGGCTGAATTGGTTGTTAAGAATATTTTGTCACCTGAATCTAAAATTATGGATGATTTGGGAGAAGCACTGTCGACACCTCATTCGACAGGGTGTTCTAAGGTGGCGCTCACGTTTGAGCAACAAAAGGTGTTGCTAGAAATGCAACAGGAAGAGAGAGAAGCTTAACGTGAGGCAGAACGTCAAGAGAGAGAAGCTCAACGAGAGGCAGATCGACAGGAAAGAGAAGCTAAACGCGAGTTAGAGATGGAAAGAATAAAAAGTGAACGTGATGTGGCGTTGGAACGGCTAAGACTGAGTGCTGAAGGTAGGCTTCCAGTTGATGGGGAGGAGGGTCCTGCTCCTAGGGAGTCTGTGCGTTCCCCTGATATATCTAGCATGGTTAGGTTGCTGCCAAAATTCAATGAAAGAGATCCAGATATT